AGAATAAAGGCAAAAAAAAAAAAAGATGAGTTTTATAATTTGAGGGTTATAATATAATAGCTTTCTTGTGAAGGGAATTTAAGAGGGAATAATGAGAGAGAAAGAAAACGGACGATAGGATTTGTAAAGTCTAAATTAAAGAGGTGTTTTAGAGAGAGAGAGAAAGTGGTTTTGGAGATGGAATGGGAGGATACAGATGTGGATCAGAGGAGAAGATGGGTCAGCCAAAGGGGAGGAGTAGTAATTAATTGCAGTGCGTGTAGAGAGCGGGTGAGATAGCATTTAATGGCGGGAGAGTATTGTGTGAGATGAGAGAGAGAGAGAGAGAAAGTTGGGTGGGGATATGGAATTTTCTTTTCCATTTTTTTTTTTTACAAAAAATGAGACAAAAGCCTAGGGCCATCAGATAGGGATGTTTCGTGGGTAAGACGCGCCAATGTTGTTGTGTTGTAACCACGGAAGAACTACTGATGGGGGGTCAGATAACCGATGATAACCACCAGGACAACTGTGGGCTAGAGTCGCCAAACAGTCGACAGCAAAGTTAGCCTCTCTATAGCAATGAGTCACCCGCACATCCCAGTCCCGCCGAAGCAAGTCACGTATGGCACGAACCAAACTACCATGCACTCCAAGGTTGCTAGTTAGGCCTCCTGTTGCCATTACCACCACGCTCTTATTGTCCACGACCACGATAGCCCGTCGAAATCCCATATCCCATGCGAGCAATAAAATGTGGAAAAGTCCCCATAACTCGGCACCTGTAATGGAGCAGTACCCAATATTTATCACGAACCCCCGAAGCCAACGGCCACCAGCATCACGAACCAAACCCCCAGCAGACGCCATTCCGGACGAAGACACGAAGGAACCGTCCGTGTTAATTTTGACCGCCTCGCCATCGGGAGGTTCCCATCGAATAAAGTGAATGTCACGCCCCACCCCGATACCTCCCAGGCGCTTCTCGACTGAAGTGGTCGACTTGATGTCATGAACCGATGAGTGAACATCCCGGATTTTCTTCTCAACGTTAAACTCCACAGTCGAAAAAATCTCTTCATTGTGGCCCCTCCAAAGTTTCCACAACGTAACGCCGGAAATGGTCTCCCACCCAATGACTGCAATATTTAACTCGTTCTGCAAATTCTGGGATAGCCACTCGGGCAATGGTAAGGTAAAAAATCCGGGGTTACGATCGGGGAGCAGTCGCCGCCAAACTTGCGTTGCGCGAGAACAATCTCGAAGACAATGGAGGATCGATTCCTCCGCTCGTCCACACAGTGGACACGTAGAGGAGTCCGTGAGATGCCGCTGCCGCCTCTCAACATTGGTGAGTAGCTTACCTTGCACAACAAGTCAAAGAAATTGACGGATCCGCTGCGGGCCAACCCATTTCCAAATAATGCGCCATAAGCTACGGTCACACGGGCTCGTCGGCCATGCACGAACCAGAGAAGAGTAAGCCCACTTGGTCGTAAAAC